AGGGCGTGTGCAGAAGCAGGAGATGGACGAAGCAGGACGCTGACAGGCAGCAGACTCTTCCTGTCTAACCACCTGAAGTGACTTCTTTGATCATCCCCCCAAAGCTTGAAGTCCTCGTAGTAGGTCCAGCTCTGCCCTCAGCCTACCCGTCATTCACGTGAACCCAACAGCCGCTAATGTAAGACTGCAGATCTAAGCATCTACATGAACTTGGGGAACCAAAGCCTAGTCAACTCTTTGAAACTAGCACTGTCTTCTCTCCGTATTCCCTATCACCACAGGCAACAATAAATGATTTTTTAAATGACTTGGCTTATGAAAATGACAGTAATGTCAACTGTCTTCTTTGTGGCTCTAACATAAACCATCTTGTTTAATAACTGCTTTAGCAAAAGAATCTCACTTTTACACTTCTTATTCTGATTCTAGGAAAATAGGTCTTGATCTTCTGTCTTGTGGTTAAAAACCAAAGCTTTGCTTTGACCTCTGAAACACACCGGCACATCATTGTCAACTAGTAAGAGGGCTTGATTCACTTACTTAGCCATGGCTTACAGTCCACTTTCAAAACAAGCATCTCAGAGGAATAATTATTGGCATACGTAATAAATATTTATTCCTGGAAAGCCAGGTGATAAACTCAAATTTCAAATTTATTTCTTAACCTTTTATAAATTAAAAAAAAAAAGCTTAGGCATATTACTTTGGAAAAATCTGTTACACCTGAGTCAGTCCCCTCAGAAAAGGTCTGACGTTCCCCGTACCCGAGGAATGACTCCCACGTGGTGGCGGCAGCATAATTAAGTGGTTTCTTAGCCTTCTGAGGTTGATAAGGTCCCTTGCCAAGGGAAGAACGCTTCCTCAAACTCACCGTCCTGGAAGTTATGCCGTGTCTTCGGTGACTCCCTCTAGGGGTCCCTCTAGGGGTCCCGTGCAGAACACAGGCTGGGTCAATCCAAGTTCCTGGGTGAGTCAGGAAGACAAGCAAAGCCCCGGCTCGCCCTCTGCCGGCTTTCCTCCAGCTGGCTATAGGTGTAGAACCTTCACCTGGAAGCTCAGGCCTTGCCTGGGGCCCGGTTAACAACAGCCTCGACTCCAAGCCTGCTTCCCCTACCAGGGTTGTGGAATTAAGCCTGTCACAGGATCCAGAAGCCGAGCTACAGCGGCAGAGCTCTTGGGCACCACGGATGATGTCTCCACCACCTCTGGGATGGCGGGAGCCGAGGTGGGGGGGGGGGGGTCTGCTTTTTGAGCCACCAAACGACACCACACACCAGGAAAGGCGCAGCTTTACTGCTGGTAGCCAGGACCCACTGGCAAGGGGGTCTCTTGGAGCTAGAGAGCAACAGTTTGCTGGTACAGGAGGAAAATAAAATGAAGGCAATTGAGAGGGCCTTTAGTTTAGATAAAGGGGTTTTATTAATCAGGAGAGAGAATCTGACAGACTGTGCCCTGGTGGGAGCCCCCGGCACCACTGCCACGCGGCAGGGGACCACGTGAGGGATACGGCCGCCCAGGTGTGCAGCACGGGCAGTGGGAGAAGGCAGCAGCTCCTTGGTGTGCACAGGCCTGAGACAGGTATTCATGCGGGTGTTTTCCTTCTGCGCAGACTCAGCATTCCAAACGATCCTGGATGGGTGTCCGCTTGACTTCAGAGGAGTGCTGGTGTCCCCCGCGCCGGGCCCACTCGTGTATGGCTGATTCCCAAATGGAAATAGCAACCCAGCAACCTCCTTCCCAGCTGAGAACTTCTGTGCCCGTCTGGGCTCTGGGGAGGGACTCGGGCTGCCTTGTTCTAAACTGGCCTTCTCTTGCTATTAGCAGTGACAACTGAGAGCTAGAATGAGATTAAGAGAAATAGTAGTTGCCCAGCTTGCGTGCCAGAGGAACCTCCACTCAGGCTTTACTTCAGGGTTTGGAGCCAAAGTGTTAACCAGTGCATACCTGCGGCCTTCTGTCTTCATGTACATGTTTCCCACAAGGCCCTTGAAGAGATGGCAAATTGCTTCAAGACAAAATTGACAGAGGTTTTAATCCCATATTCTCTTCAGGAGCTCACAAATACATATAATAGAGATTTTGAAACAAATACTGCTGTGTTTTTTAAAGATTAATTTCATTGATTTGGAAGCCCAAGTGACAGAGAGAACCTGAGAGAGGTCTTCCACTTCCTGGTTCCCTTGTCAAAGGGCAACAAAGGTCAGGGCTGGGTCAGGCCAAAGGTCAGGGCTGGGTCAGGCCAAAGGTCAGGGCTGGGTCAGGCCAAAGCCAGGACCTGGAACCTTATTGGGATCTCCGTGTGGGCACAGAGGCCCAGGAACCTTTGCCACCTCCCACTGCCTTCCTGGGTGCCTTGGCAGGGAGCTGGGGCAGAAGCAGGAGTAGCTGGATTTGAACCTGTGCAGATACCAGATGCTGGCACCACAACTGTGGTTTAACCAGTAATACCACAAAACCAGCCATTACCATTTTATTTTCAGACATCATTCTATACCCCTGGCATGTGGAAATAATTTGTTATTTGTGTTATAAGTAGAACCCAAATTTTTGATTAAAAGATGTATTTTCTGAATCCTAAAGGTTCTAATGTAAATGCTTCTAATTAGTTGAGAATGTTAGATAGCTCAAAGCACTCCATGACATATGCCCCAATTTTTTTTAGTATACTGCATATATCTAACTGAATATTCTTAGTAGTTTTTTATTTGAAGAGTGGAGAGCAAAGGGCAGGGCTCCCCAGTGCTGAAGTTGAGGGGTAATTGCCTGCATTTCATCGCCTCAATTCCAATGGGAACAGATGTTCCTGGCCAGCAGCCCGAGGGGATGGCGTCTGTTCTGGAAGGGAACTAATGCCATCTCCATTGGTCCATTGATCTGTTCACAGCATCCTCAGACTGTTCTTGACTTCTTAATCACAGGTCTTCCCTCCTTCCTTAGGAAAGCATTGATTTTTCAGTTTAGTCCTTGCGATTTGCAGAAGAAAGAAATGAAGATTTTTGCCTTTAGAAGATGAAAGATCATGAAGAGAATGTGGAGTTAAAATGGATTCTTATTTTTTAATAAAATATGCTTTCTGAAAAACCAATACAGCAGAATAAAAAAAAAAAAAGGCACACGCGCTAAAGTTACTGGAAATAGATCTAGCAATTCTCAGTCTCTTACCTGTAATGCTCGCCTTCCATCTGTACTTCTATTCTTATCATTCATTTTGCTTCAATTATTCGAGACTGTTTTCTCTTTCTAAATACAGGCTCCAAAATGGTGAGTGCTCAAAATCAAGCCATTTCTCCCCATGAAGTTCTTCCTTAAAAAAAATTTTTTTGACTTATTTTTATTGGAAAGGCCGATATACATAGAGGAAGATCTTCCGTTCAATGAGTCACTCCCCGAGTGACTGCAACGGCCAGTTCTGCGTCAATCAGAAGCCAGGAACCTCCTCCAGGTCTCCCACATCGGGTGCAAGGTCCCAAGGCTTTGGGCCGTCCTCGACTGCTTTCCCAGGCCACAAGCAGGGAGCTGGATGGGAAGTGGGGCCACCAGCATTAGAACAGGCATCCATATGGGATCCCGGTGCTTTAAAGGCCAGGACTTTAGCTGCTAGGCCACGCCACCAGGCCCCCCAGTGCAGTTCTTTTACCATGTTTTCAACTTACATGAGAATCCAGAGACTTAAATGGAAAAAATTAGTCACAACTTTAAAGACAAATGTTGAAAAAAAAAAAAAAGACAAATGTTCAATTATTTCAACACATTTAAAGCACCCAGAAAACCAGTCGTTTTACAATGGATTTTCTCAAAATTATAAATCTCTAGTTGCCAATTAGATTTCTTTGATTTTATGTATAAGATAGAGCACTGGGTGTGACCAACAACTTAGAAATAGCTAATATGGGCAATTAAGAGAAATAGCTTATAACATTTTGTTGACTACGATCCACTCTCATGCATTTTAAACAGGCAGTAAAGGTCTATGCTATGAAGTTGGAAGAGGAGCATTTCTGGGGCTGTGAACTTGAACTCTTGTCCTCACTGTTTTTTCAGTCAAGCCTTCGGTCTATCTCTGTTAGACACAGAGCCTCCACCGACTGACGCCAGAGCCTTACAGTAGCTTGGGAGCCTCCAAAAGATTGGCTTTAGATCACCGTGTCAGGTTCATTATGCACAATGATTAATAATTATATATCAAGGACTAAGTAACAGCACTCGAGGAAGTCAAACAGCCAACCAGCTCCTTTTCAATGGCATTTTTTGGTTCCTCTGATATTACTCATATGTTTCTCTGAAAGGTAAAGAGACAGACAGAGCAGAGAGAGCTCCCGTCAGCTGCTCCACAACTCCAAAGTCCACAGGAAACTGGAATCAGTGTAGTCGGGACCTGACCCCAGGCCCCAAAACAGATATTTTTAAAGCAAGACTTTCTTTAAAGCATCAGTTCTTAGAGATTTTAATTTAAGCATATGATCTCTGAACCTCAAAACAGATGAATAAAATTTCCCCAAACGTCTATGGACTGCATTTGTGGGTGTATGCACATCATGTGCACACGTAAATGCTGGCACATATATGCTGAATACAAGAATATTTTTATAGTCCATAGAAAATGCAGTTTTTGATAAAAAAAAATCGAAATTCATGTGTAGTTTTTGTGTGCATTTTTTTCATGAACTTATAGAAGACCCATATGTCTCTTGGCACTAGAATTCTGAAACTACTACCAATCAAACCAAACAAGGTCAATCAATCAATCAGTGAAAGTTCTTGCATGCAAGTGACAGGAATTCTTATGGCTAGATTAGGGGAAAAGTAAGCTTCACAAAAGACCACTGGAAAGCATAGTATGGTGGGAAGAACTTGTTACAGGCATCCCATGTCAGGAAGAGCCTTATCCCTTCACTACTGCTCGGATCAATTCATCCTCAGTCATGTCTGCTTCCTGACATCAGAGCGAAATGGAAGAGAAGGGGAAAAGTAGTCCCTGAATGAAATACACAAAACGTTAATGCTTTCCTCTCTGTAATGCAGTTACGGCAGTTTTAATTTTATTTTTGTACCTGAATTACATTTGTAGTTATAAGAAACATAACTTTGAAGCAAATTTTTAAATGTTCCCTGATGCCAAAATTTTGAGATACAGTCAGAATGTTTACAATATTCAAAGCTTCCCTAGTTTCAAAATATTTGAGTTTTTCCAGTTATTAGATTATCTTTTAAGTTTCATATTACTTGAGGGTTCCTGATTAATAAACTTTTAAAAAAATGCTGCTTCTTGTCTCTTATACAAGTAACTAGGACATTGTAGAAATTACAATTCCAGTAAATAATTACGGATATACTAAATCGCTATTGTAAGTAATTAGAATACTTGCCATGAGCTGGTGCTGTTTGTAGGTCTTGTAACAAGGAGTCCTGCCTAGTGCTTGCATGCACTTGAAAGAAGACAATTGATTTCACTTTTTCCAAACAAAATTAGCTGTTTATTAAAATAGCCACATAAATATTAATAATTTTATTCTTTATTAAAAAGAAAGCAAGATTAACAGCATAGACCTTATAGCACTGCCCTAAATAACACCAGTTAAAAAATGAAATAAACCAGCAATTAACATTCATTATTCTTAAATAGCAACAAATAAGACACTACATACCAAAACTTTTAAAATGCAGTCAAAGCTGTGCCCAGAGGTAAATTTATAGCATTAATTGCCCTGCTATTAAATAAGAAATAAAAATCAGTGAAGTAGGTGATCAATTGCAAAAAAAAAAAAAAAATCACAAAACAACAAAAAAAACTACAAAAAAATAAGTAAAAAAATTAAAGATGAAAAGTCGGTAAAATATCCAAATTTTGGGTCCTTAAAAAGACTAGCAAATCCAGTAAAATAAAAAAAGTAATAAAAAAATTAAAAATGAGAAAGAAGCTATAACCACATAGAGAAAAATATCATAGCTATCATTACATATAGAAATCTGCTAATAAATCTTTAAATTCTATGAAAATGTACTATTTTGTTTAAAAATATATCTTTTTAAATTGACACTCAATAAGTAGTAGTTAACCTACCTATCCCAATACCATAGAAAATATTTTAAAGTTTTCTGAGAATTCTTTACTACTCACTCTGAAAGAGCCGAGGCTTAAACAGTGTCTAGGTGGGCTTTTACAAAACCTTTCAAGTAGGCAATTCCTATACTATGTATTAACCAAGAGCATACAACAAGACGGAAACTTTTTTAAAGTTTACAAAGGTAAAATATAAAAATGTAAAAATTTTTAAATGGAGTGAGAAGAGTCATTAGGAAGAAGCAGAAAGGATTTCATGCAGAAACAATGCAATACAAAGAAAACCTACTAAAAATGTATTGTGACGATGGGCCATGGAAGCAAAATCATATGATAATCTCCATTTGCTAACAGTATATTTTATATAATTCAACAATGGCCAAGAAAATGCTTAGTACATGTGAACTAGGAAATTATGTCCTTAAGCAGATAAAGATATGTAATTCAGTCCGAGGGCTAACACTAAAAACTGGTGATTCTGCTTAAACATGCACAATTTCAATGTATCATTCTAAGAAAAATGCTGATGAAAAATATTAGGCATTCCTTTAAAAAGTTAGTAAGGGAAAATTTATTTACTATATGAGGTAAAAATGTTATAAAGAGGAAAAAAACTATCATCAATTACACCTACAATGATTTGCTACTCAGAAGAGAATCAACTAGGATAATAAACCAAAAAATTCAGAAAAGTTACCAAACACACACACACAATCAATCAATAGCTTGACCCTTTAGGGAGCAACCAGTTACAACAAAACAAACAAACAAACAAGGAAAAATGGACTCCACTCACACAGCAACAAAGATATGAAATACTAATAATGCCACTAATAAAGAAACAGACAAGATACACAAAATTACTGCAGACCACGTAGGCTGTCTCAGTAACCTTGACCTGGGACATATCCCTGAGCAGGACACTCTCTATCACAAAGATGCACATTCTCCCCCAGGTAACATTCTGCAGTGTTAAAGCAATTCTAAACAAAAGGCCAATAGAATTTCTCACCAAATGTGATTTAAAAGCATAGCCAAAGCATATTAAGAAGAATAAAAAGTACAGCCAAAAGTACGTTGAAAAGAGTAACATACACTCCAGCGAAGAGTTAAACACAAAGTTATGCAAGTAACAAGGCAGCAGTGATTGCAACGGCATGTCCAGGAGCCAGGAACAAACAACTGAGCAATAAAGCCAGAAACCATTCCAAGTATGTGTAAGAATTTAATATTTCATAAACATGGAGTTTTCAAAACAGTAGAAAATCACGATGCAAGAACTAAATAAATACTTAGACTCTTAATTACACCTATATCAAAAATAAATTCCATTTGAAGATTCAAATCTAAAAAATTTTAAATGAAAGGAAACACAGACAACTATTTATATAACATTAGGATAGAGACACTCTTTAAACGTTTCACCAAATGCAGAATCATGGGAATAATGGATTCATCTGAACTTAAAATGCAATATTTCTGTATATCAAAGACATCATGAAAGAAATTGGCACACATCTGAAGAGGGACAAAATGCATGTAAGCATACAGAATAAACAAATGGTTAGTGGTTTCAACATATAAAGAACTCATAGGAATCAATACTGTGGAACCACCAAGAGAAAAATTAGCAAATGCATTCATTGATTCATTCGTTCAATGGGAGTTTATTGTGCGCCTAGTATGTGTCAATTACTGTGCTGGGGGCTGAGAATACAATGCTGAAGAACCCAGACATCCAGACATTGTCATTCCTCACACATTCTAGTGTGGGAAAACCTAAATAAATAAATAAAGTTATACCTTGAGAGAAGCAATGCAGAAAACAAAGGCGTCCGGGTAGCTGGGAAAGGGGCTCTAGACGTGGCGCTGAGCAGCTCCCCACAGGGCACCCCTGCGCCAAGAGCAGGAGCTGGGAAGGACAGGTTGAGTCAGACAGCAGCGTTCACTAAGCCCCTGAGGTGCAGGAAGGCCCAGCGTGGAGGGACAGAGGTACAAAGCAGCAGATGGGCTTGCTGAGAGGGAAGGGTCTGATGGTGAAAGCTATGGCACCTATGCTGAGGGGGTTAGAGTTCATCTTGGTTCCACGTAGGGAAGAGGTCTCCTGTTGCTGAGCTACCAGGAATGTACAGAAGTGGGTTGAGAGCAGCGGCAGAGACCTGGCAGGACTGGCTGTCACAGTAGGTAGATTATATGCACGTGTATCTATGTGTGTGTGTACATATATAGATATGACTAAGTGTTGGCATTGAACATGGAAAGAAGCAGTCAGACTCAACACGGGTTAAACTTATGTACCCGACATACGCGCCAGTCATGCGGAGATCAAGGACATTCTCAGGTTCCTAGCTTGAGTCATCAGCTAATGGTGCTGCTATTTATTGCAATAGGGAAGATGAAAAAAACAGATTTGGGAAATGTTAAGCTTAAGAGATCCGTTGCTCATTAAGGAAGCAACCAGATGCACGAGTCTAGAACTTAGAGGAAAGGTCTAAGTGGGAAACATACATTTGAAACTCATAAACATAAGGATGGTACTCAAATGCATGGAAAATGATGATTATCAAAAGAAAGAACAGAGAGGAGGGACCAAAATAGAGAGGAGCAGTTCTAACTTTTAAAAATTAGACAGAACAAATAGAAAACTGAGCACTGATCAAGAATAGACTCTTGAAGTACACATAAAGAATAAAGAGTAACCCAAAAAATCAGAGAGGAAGAAGGCGAGGACAGGAAACCACACTGATGGAACAGCTAATCCGGAAGTGGCCGGTGACCTTGGCATGGGCATTGCAGGGCAATAGTGGAGACCATCCCCCTGCTTGCAGACTGAAGTGAAACTCCACAAAGTACAATTACACAGGAGAGCTGGGCGAATGGGTACAGTGTGCTCAACTGGCGGTGTGAAGAAAACGAGGGACCAAGTCTGCGAGAAGATGCGGCCTTCCTCAGAAGCCCTCCTGGGAAGCCAGCAGCATGGCTTGGCCTCAGCGCCTTCCTCTGGGGCAAGGACGACGGCTGGCCAGACAAGCAGGTGGCAGGCTCCTGCAGTGTGGAGACTGAAGCTTGTACACAGGGATTTCTGTTTTCTTGGGGGAATGTGAAGTGGGGAGAAAGGACCCGAGACATTCGGGGGGGATGAGAATGTACGAACAGCAGCATAGAAGAGAATCAGGAAGGCGCAACAGCCCCAACGCGAGGCCCAAGATGGTTTGAAAGTGAAACTAGTTGGTGGAGTTGTGTCGCTGTTCTAGACACTTCTCAGTTGGCCTTTGTCAGGCCCGTGGCAAGCAGATGACAAGGCTTATCCAGGGCTGGCGTTTTGTCAGGACTTTAAGTCGCAATAATTGGAGATTCAAGAGTGCTGAGAACACTGTATTTCAAGGAGCATGACTATGGCGACGGCCCATGGGCTGGACAAGGCTCCAAGGCTGGAGCTCATCAGTGGTGGTCGAGATGAGGTTAAGGAATCAGATGTAGAGGCCAGCATGGTAGCTTAGCAGCTAAAGTACTTGCCTTGCACACACCAGGATCCCATATGGGTACCGGTTCTAATCCCGGCAGTCCCGCTTCCCACCCACCTCCCTGCTTGTGGCCTGGGAAAGCAGCCAAGAACGGCCCAAAGCCTTGGGACCCTCACCCGTGTGGGAGACCCGGCAAAAGCTCCTACGGCCTGACTTTGGATTAGCTCAGCTCCGGCCGTTGCGCTCACTTGGGGAGTGAAACAGTGAACGGAAGATCTTCCTCTCTATCTCTCCTCCTCTGTACATCTGAATGTCCAATAAAATAAATAAATCTTCGGGAAAAAAAAAGAAAGAAAGAAAGAAAGAAAGAAAGAAAGAAAGAAAGAAAGAAAAAGAATCAGCTGTCAACCAGCAAAGAATCCAGGAAAGGAAGATGCAAAGAGTGGAATGCTTCAGTTCAGTTCTTCCTAGAAACAGATACCAAGTTGGAAATCCCGTGCAAGTTTCACAGAGAACACTTGTGAAGAACAAAAGGCAAGGGCGCGGCCAGGGCACTGCCGTCTCACCCCGAGTCAGGTGTCGCCTGTGAGGAGGGGGACTGAGCAAGAAGAGCCGCATGCTGCAAGACACTAAGTTCTGGCCAGGAGTCGTGGATGTCACAGGAACAAGCAGTACTGGCATCGTGCTCAGTCCCTGGGGGAGCCCGGGGCAGGGGGCTGCGGCGCTGAGTGTCAAAGTGGATCGGTTGGGGCAGGAGATCCGACCGGTGTCCTGGCTTCACCACAGACAGGATCCTAGAGGAGCAGCAGGTACTAACCACGACCCAGGTCTAGAATGACTAGAATGCCGGGAGCAAAGAACTGGCTCCACGGGCATCGGCGCTTGGAGCACTTACTGGAGCGCAAGTTCAACCCTGGTTGTGAATTACACCAAGTCCAGGCTGTGTCCATCGCCAGGGCAGTCTTTGGGGGGCTGTGGACAGCCGTTAACAATCTTGAGGCAGAAGGCTGCAGTGGGGGAGGCAGCGGTTGGTGACACTGAAGCGGCCGAGGTGAAGGCTCCAGTAGGAGAACCGAACAGCGAAAGCCAACCGGGATAAGGAGGTGTGGAGGTCACGAGGGAGGCAGGGGATGGTCTTGTCCAGTGGTCAGGTTCTCGGAGCAGCCGGGACTTTGGCAGGCAGGACGAAGTCGTGCGCTCCCGGAGCAGCGGCGACTGGCACGGCCCGGAGGCGCTCGGTCCGGTCGGGCGGGGAAGCAGCTCTAGGCTCCCCGGGCGCTGGTGAGGCGGCGTGAGGAGGCGCTGTGTGAGGAGGCGCTGCCGGGAGGCGCCTGAGGTACGAGGCGGCTGTGCGGAGGCGGCGGGCGCGCCGGGCGCTCACGGGGCCGCGGCCTTGCCGAGCCCGCGCGCCGCGTGCGGGCGCTCCCGGAGCTTGGCGCGGCGGCTGGAGGCGGCCTGGCGCGTGGTGACGGCGCCCGCGGGCGGGCAGCGGCTGCCGGGGCCGGCCGGGCGCAGGGCGGCGGCGCTGCGGGGCGACGGCTTCGCGAGGCTTCGGTCCCCACGGGCGGCGGCGGCGGTCCCCAGGGGAGGAAAGACAAAGACACGCCGGTTAGAAACGGGCACGAGAGCGCGGCGCCCTGGGCCCCTGGCAGAGGCACGAGCCGCCCCTTCCGCCCCACGGGGGAGGTCGGCCGGGCTCGCCGTGGACCCGAGGCAACGCCAGCCGGCCGAAGGCGCACACGACTTCTTAGCAGTTTGGGGAAAGACTCTTCGACCCAGAAATCCTAACTTGATCATTTTCCCTAGAGTAACAATAAACACATGCAAGGCTTTTCATATGAGGTAACTGGCAAACGCAACTTACAAACAGATGCATGCACGGCTTTGAAAAAATTTTGCGCTGAAACAAACTCAGTTTCGTGTCTTCATGAACTTTTACATGTACCCTCGTATAATAGGGAAAAACAGAAGTCTGAAAACACCAGACAAAACAAGAAAATGAAAGAATAGAATATCCCATACTTGACACAATTACTGACTAGCCGTATAGTGAATATTAACCTGCTAGTAAAACAATGCTATGAGATAATCCCTAGCGTGTGGGGAAACACTGATATTCTTTGTGCAGTGAAGAAAGGTGGTTGTGTGTGGACGCACAGCGCACAGGTCCATAACAACACAAGCGCACAGCACACAGGCCCATAACAACACAAGCGCACAGCGCACAGGCCCATAACAACACAAGCGCACAGCGCACAGGCCCATAACAACACAAGCGCACAGCGCACAGGCCCATAACAACACAAGCACACAGCGGTGGGGTGATCTGGCTGCAGGCAGTCTATACTTTCCTCTTATACTTTCCAAATTTTATACAAATTTTTATAATAAAGATGTCGATAATAGGAGTTTTACTTCATTCCCATTCTCTTCACCCCAATTCAAATGTATGAAAACTAGTGTGTACTGTATAGCAAAGGGGTGGCCATCGGAAGATTTTACAGAATGAAGAGTCCACAGTTTATCTTCTACATCAAGTCCTAAGGGAACCTCAGTCTCCAGAGCAGTTTTTCCTTCAGTGTCACACAGATGATCAAAATTTGGCTTTTGTGAAGCTGTATCTTATTTTACTCTTATTCCTAGTTCACAGGAAAACAGTTTTCTGAATTTCTAACAAACATAACTCAATTCGAAGTTTCCACAAATTTGGAAATATAAAATTTGCTTTAAAATGGAAAAAAAAAAACCCTCAAGAGATCTGTTTGATTTGAAAGAACAAAAACTAAAATATTACTGTGAAGCAGAGTCTAAACTTCCTGGCCTCCACTCTTAACAAATTTAAAATCTTAATTGCTATCTAAGGAGTGTGTTTGCTAAATCTTATTCCAGGAAAACACACAAACTTAAAAAAGTTATAATACTACAAGGTAGAGGAGTTCCCCGAACAGCTCCAAATTCCAAAATGACGTCATTGTAAGCCGAAAATGACCTCAAAGATCGATGTTTATTGGAAAGTTGCTTAAACAGATGATGAATAATTAATCCCACTGTGCTTCCCTCAGGAGGGAGGCACTGAGTGTCTGGAGGAAGTACCTTTAGGAAAGGAACCAATATGAGAAATAAACAGCATCTACAAAGAGAAGAAATGCTGAGAGGCCAAGAGTGTGTGCTAACTGCCCCCAGACAAAATGAAGTCTGTTGGCGGACTTTTACACAGTTGTAGTTTTTCAAAAGCCTTTGCGTTCACCAACTGACCTAATGGAACGGGATTACGTGCAGCTGAGGCACGGAACTCTTCCGAACCTTCCCCAGTGGTGCTGCAGCCAGCTTCCGTTACCCGAAGGATGGTTTCCATGTGACTGCGCACGTCTGGATGCCTGCTGTGTCTCGGGCGCTGTGCTCAGAATGCAGAGGACAGAAGTGGTAACTCGGGCTAGCTCTGTCTAGAAAGCTGTCTTCCAGTTATTAAAATCACAGACCCGGGGGGTCAACCGGAACCTCTGGACCCCTCAGTCCCGCCAAGGATGTCCTTCCCACAGCCTTGACGTGAGCCTTCTTTCCTGTCTTGCCCTTGCTCCTGGTCATCCAGAGCTCACCAGTGCCTCCACACTAATGAAATGAAAATTTTAACCTTTCGGAGGAGTCAAAAAAGTGAACTTCCTGCTCCAGGAACAAGCAAAGAAATGCTTGTCTTACCTCTCTGATTTCACTAGAAACTGGCTTCCTGAACAAAAGCGATCTGTAAAATGCCGAGCTTCCAAAGGGTTAGGCCTCCCTCACACTGTTATTGTTTCATTTTAAAAATGCTCATTTCCTGGAAAACACAGTTTAAAAAAAACACTCAGTAGTCAATCTCAGGAATACTTGATTTAAATGAGTGAAAGCCATTACGCAAGCTTTGCTAGAACACAAGCAAACCTTATCTTTGACAATCCCAACTTTTCCCCCACAGCAGTAAAAGCTAAACTGACTCACAAAGCTACACAGAAGCAGAATCCTGTAGACTGCTTTGCAAGGTTCGGGGAACCTGCAACCTGGGCCAGCCACGTCCTCCAGGACTTTCAAGTTAAGAGTCAAGTCACCACCATAAGCGAGACACACTGTAATCTATTTTACAACACACAGAGCTGTGGTGAGTCCTCCACTGTTTCCCAAATTTACTTCGCCACTCTCGAGACAATTTCCAGATGGATGTAGAGGGGCAAAGCTGTTGTTGCTGCTGGAATGACCAACTAACTCATCCTAGTCATTCCTTTCTGCTTATTGGGCGTTTGTCAGATCTGTAACACTACTGCTGCTTGCTGAGTTCATCATCCCAGCTCTACCCCTGGACTTTCAATCATCACCTCCCAATGCCATGGCCATCGTTCTAATGATTCACATGCTGCTACCACTTTCAAAATAAACTTCACACCTAGGAGAAGGCATTTATGCAGGGCCTGAAATGAAAGAAGGCAGTTCTGGTATCATCTATTCAAGACACAAAACCAAATATATTCTGGAGTTGAGGGGAACTTAGAGATCATCTCTTCCAAGAGCCACACATTACAAATGGAAGAACCATGGAGAATGAAGCATTTCAAAGCAAGAAGCTGGAGCTTTAAAACAGAATCTCAAACACACTATGGGAGAAAAATCATGAAGAGTGAAAAGTGTTGTCCAAAGCAGCTCATGAATTCAAACACTGAGGAAGAAAACGAAGAGTATGAACGTAACTCAAAACATGACAGACATCATCTATAGAAAATGGGCCCAGACTGTCTGCCATATTCCAAACAAGGGCACTTGTACTCAACACCAGCATATTTGTGAAGTCAGTATTTGTATTTGCTATAAGCCAGGCATTTACACACATTAGCTCAATTTTTCATACTTATAAATAAATGGGGGGGGGGGAGATGTGTTAAAGCAGTCTACCACCCTCTGCAAGAAATCAAGCAAGGGAAAAGCTAGAATGTGTCTGCCTCGTGTAGCAGAAGGGATGCCTGGAAATGCAAGAGCATGTGGTCTGATGGGCGGCTCTCTTGCTGTGAGAAAGACAAGCATGACACACAGGGCTGATACGTGCACAGGAAGCACCA